AATTGACAACTAAAAAAATTAAAGGACACATTGCAGCCTCTCATGGCTTGAACTTTAAGAAACCTTACTATATTATATAAAATTATTTAATGTGAACTTGTTAGCATCACTTTTTTTAGCGATACAAAATTTGCATTGTTTTATTTAACTAATGCTAAAAATAATTAATTTGCACATCAACTAAATGAGTGATGTTAACTCTTCTTGTGAATCGATTTTTTCTATGTGAGACACTTTAAGATAAATTAGTATCATTTTTATNTAATGATGCCTAATGCACCACTAAGAAATATTACGAGATTAGAGATAAAATCATAAAACTAGTAATTGGACACCTAATTTTTATACTTTGAATGTTATGAGATTAACATAATATCTGAAAATTAATTTGAAAACATAAATAAGAAATATTACGAGATTAGAGAAGGTAAAAGACTATGTACGATCAATATTTGATCGATAATGTTGTGACCAATTTATGTTAGGTATATTCGTAAAAAAAATTATTGACTAATTTTGGACCAAAATTGTTTTAGTCGATAAATGGTAAGAATATTTTGACTATTTACTGACCAATTATATTAGTCAAAACATTTTTGATCATATTTCAACCAGTTTAATTTTTTTATAATATTTTGGTCAAAAATTTGTCAAGAAACATTTTGACCATTTTACTGGTAAAAATTTTGGTCAAAAATTAACATATTTTCTTGACCAATTTTCAACCAATATTCTTTTTCGCAATTTTCTGACCATTTTTTTACAAAGTTACGAAACTTTCAAAAATTGATTGAAATTTCGACCAATTTTTGACTCTCATATTTTGTCATATTTTTTTTACCAACTTATAACGAAAATAAACGTTCGTCTAAAATTAGTTGAAAAATGATTAAAATAGTTTATGACCACATACAAGTTGGTCAAAATTTGATATGTTTTTTTGTAGTGATTATTGAAAAAATCTATAATATTTTATTAACATTTAATATTTTCTTGGAAATCCATCAAAAAACTTCTTGTTGGAAGTGCTCCTATATATACTAGACAAAAATATCGGAATACAAACTACGGCATATATATTAAAAAAACGATAGAACGATAAAAGTAAAGTTGCATGATATTTTTCTTAATGAACTTTCTTCGTAATAGTTTCATTTTCAGTAATTTTTCATTTGTAATATTCAAAATGTAAATGTAATAAGAGTTTGAAAATCATCAATCAAAACAACAAAATGAAACCTTAAGATAAAAACAACAAAGCTTATCTCTAATCCTCAATGACTCGACATAAAAGTCAAGACAATCACCATTATAATTGGGCCTACTTTCGCACTTGGTAGTTTCGAAACAAATAATGCTGATTTGACAAAACAGATATTGAGTTTAATCATTTTAATGATTATGCGGTCGCTATTTCATAATCCGGATTTAAATTTGATAATGTATATATAAATTATTAACGAAGGAAAATTGTTACGACATATTCATAGTCAATTTTTCA